GAGCAGTTTGGAGGTGCAAGATACCTGAGCGTGTAATGTTAATTTTACCTGTGATCCTTTGAATAAATCAGCACTGTTTTGAAGTTACTTGTACTGTCTCGTCTCTCAGAGTCAGTATGGTAAAAAGTACCGGGTACAACAGTACAGTGAATATCACATCATCTTTTGTTTAATATGTTTTCATTTTCATTCATTCATTTTCTACCGCTTGTCCCTGAACGGGGTCACGGGGGGGGGCCGGAGCCAATCCCGGCCAGCCATCGGGCGAAGGCGGGGTACGCCCTGGACAGTTCGCCAATCCATTGCAGGGCTAACACATAGACGAACAACCAGACACACGCACATGCACTCCTATGGGCAATTTAGAGACACCAATCAACCTTAGCTGCATGTCTTTGGACTGTGGGAGGAAGCCGGAGCACCCGGAGAGAACCCACGCAAGCACGGGGAGAACATGCAAACTCCACACAGAAAGGTCCTTCTTGTTGTGAGGCAACGGCGCTAACCACTGTGCCACCGTGCTGCCCGTTTTCATTTTCATTTTTGTAATTTCCAGTGTGCCTGTGCTGTACTGCCTCTGTGTGGATCATGGGGTGGGGTGGGGGTGTTTGAGGTGGTGATCTTTCAGTGTAACTTACTTCCCATCCATTTTCCAAACACCTCCATGTCTCCAGAAAAGTAGGAGACGCCCTTGAGGAAACGGGCCCTGGCTCTCTGCAGGGTTGTAGCTCCTGCAGGCTGCACAGAATCCTTCTCATGGGGGATGTCATGGTGTTCCATCAGCGGCTGCTGTTCCTGGAACCATCGTTACAATTAGAGTATGCCTAGAGAATTTAATTAGAAGAATTGTTTCATACATGCATGATTTGTATCATGCTGTATGAACTGTGAACACTGACTTACTGTAAAGGTGGTGGCAGGAGCACTGGTGGGCAGTGCAGTAGGAGTGGACACGCTGAAATTCTTTAGAATGTCCTGATGTAAGAGAAGCAAATGAAGTTTTCCTTGGCACAAATTATAAGAGTAAAAATATATGCAGTAAATCTTTCAAAATTGAATAAAATATCCATTTATTTTACACCAAATATTATTAGTTCACTATGGTCAATGATTTAAGTTTAGTTCATCCTTTAAAAAAGTTTGATTATCGTTTACTGTCCTGCTGGACTTTGACCGATATGTACAAGTGCTCTTACCTTTGTGCAATGTGATGCAGGCATATGTCCAGAATAGGCACAAGCTGCGCAGTCTTCTCTGCAGCATGTCTACATCGACTTCCACCAAAGGCTTTTATAGCAACATATCACAGAGAAAACCCCACCTCATCGCTCCTGTCTTCCCCACCTCTCCCTCTCAGCCACGTCTTCCTCTCCTTTGCTCATCTTCTGCTTAGCAGCACCACACCCATGTCTCTCCATGCACACGCTCATACACATGATTTCATCTCTATCCTTTCTCTGACAATGAAAATTACAAGAAAGGAAAAGATAATCGCAGGTGAAGTCAAGCTTTGCTCTTCAGTTGCTGGTGTTGATGTGCTGTGCAGTGCTGCAAAGCCTAAAACAACTCAAACTCTTGACTCCAGAACCTGCTATGAACTTGACCACTGTGCAGCAGCGTAACATGAGAGAGGCCATGCACTGCAGATATCAGTATCACTGCCAGACATCTTGGAGGGGTGTGGGACCTCACTGACTTAACTGCTTAAGAAGTAAGTTTAAAGGAACCACTGCAGAGAAAAAAAAAGTTGTATAATGTTTTTTGGGGGGTTGCAAATAAAGCAACACAAAGGCTGTGTCTGAAATCACTCACTCACAGTGGTGCATTATGTTTGCTGTTTTGTTGTGATTTCCAGGTGCTGAGTGTGTAAATCTATCCACTGTATGGCAAACCTAATGAGCGTTATACCGTCTACCTCCCCTAACCATCACAAAGCATATCCTCCAGGGCTGACGTGAACTGTCCTGCTTTGTTTTTCCACTGTATTTTCTCTAAAAGGGCTGTCTGGTGGTTCATGTTAAGAATGATCAGACAATTAAACACAAAATGAAGGCATGCTTGGAATATAGAGAAAAATAATATAAAGGACCCTGTGACTCTCATCAGGTTTTGCAGCATAAATAATGGATAGATAATTTAAAGGAGAATAAAGTGACATAAAATGTGAATATTCAACTAAAATGTAAATATCTCAAAAGTGTCATTAAGTTCCAGTTACCTTCCGCCAATGTTTTTCAGTTTTACTGGGTGAAAGCGCTGTCTTATCTTCATCATATAATGTCCAAGTTGCATTATCATAAAGAGCAGATGCACACACACACACACACACACACACACACACACACACTTAGAGACAAATAATGAGAGTACAGAGAAGTGGGGTTGTTTGGTCTTTAAAAATAACTACAGCATAATTACAAAGCCAATGAGTAGCACTGATTTTAGCTGCTGACATCTAGTCATCACTGAGGGAGGAACAGGAGCAGCCTGAAAAACCTGGAAGGGCTGAAGAAATATTTCCAACAACTTTTGTTCTTCATTAAAAATGGAATGAAGAGCAAACAGGTGTAGCGAAATACTTGTACCTTGTGATATGTTATCTCATGTTACCAGTAACTTGATTAATAGTTGCTGGGAAATTAACGGGGGGGGGGGGCACTAATGGAAAAAAAAATAGTACAACTGTGATTTGCTGCACCTAGAAATTTCACTTTTTCTTCCCTCTTTTTAAAAATGTTTACTCAAATATAGGGCATCTTGCATAATTACAGAGTTACTAGTTATATAGCAGGAAACGAGATATTTCCTCTTAAAAATGACAATTTCTAAAGTAGTTTGAGTTTTCAGATACTGTGGATTCACATGTTGGACCGCATGGATTTAAACAGACATGTCCTCTTTTCAACAGATCAGTCTGTTCCTGCAAGCATGAAAGTATGTTGTGCAAAATACTGCACAATGAAAATATTAGAGTAAAGTATATATTCTTGTATTTTTGAACAGGCAGACACCAGAACTAGCTCACTGTTGCTCAGTGCTAAAGCTGTTTAAGCAGCGAGCTCTTTCAGATTCTCTGTGTGATAAGTTCTAAATTTTAAATGAAAAAAAAAAACAGCTGAAGACTAAACAAAGTATCCAACATGAGAAAGTTATAATTTATCATCTTAAAATATATTACAGCAAAGCTAAGCTTAAGCTAAGTGGTCATGTAACAGCCAGGCTCAGATATGGCAGCTGTTAAATGAAGGAGCATTCATCATGTTGACATTTACAGTGAACTGGGTCCATTTGCCCTCCAGGTACAAGCTGTCCTGAGGCAAAGCATTGAATGGACCAGCCTTTCACAGGGCATTAAAACTCTAAATTGTACTGGTTCACTGGACCTGCTTTTCCTAACAAACTGAATAACACTCACAGACTGACAACAAGTAGCTGTGATGAAGTGGTATGATTCAGCAGCTTTACATGAGAGTCTGGTGATTGTCATGTGATCCTGTGTGCACAGATTTTTAGGAAGATGGTAGTTTCAAGAAAAGTAGGTTGGTTCTGACATCTAGTGTGAAGATCAGAAATTACACATCAGCTGTGTCCCTCCGCCTCCCTCCTCTCCTTCACTATTATCTGACCTATATGCCTCAGACTGGATCAAACCAACAAAGTCCTCTGGATCCAGTGATCTTTAAGCAGCTTCTTCACCACAGACTAAAACTAAAACACAGGACTGTAAAACAAATCAGACCAAGCTGCATTTAAGATCAGACAACTCTGTCAATACTCCGCCAGAGACAGATCTGAAAAGATTAGAAGAGGCAGCTGGTTCGGTGTTTTCATGCAGCCAACCTACCCTCATGCAGACACACAAAGGACGAGGCTGCATAGTGTATGCATGTGTTTGTTTGTGTGTGTGTGTGTGTGCGCGCGCGCGCGCGCGTGTGTGTGCATGTGTGATGAGGTGGTTGGTTGTGAGGGGGTTCTTCAGCTTCTGCCAGAGTCTGTGGAACCTGATACATGATGACTCCCCATCACAAGAATGTAAGTTTCCTTCTCTATGAGCATCTGGCCTAATGCCCGACCACATCTCCATCTGTGTGTGTGTGTGCATGTGAATATGAGTGTGTTACTTGTTACTATTTGCCCCCTTTTCAGAATGAGCGGCCTCCTTCAGCACAGGAGACATTCTTCATGCGATGGTTGTCCAATTTGTTTTCTTAGTCTTTTGCTAAGGTGCTGTCACTTTCATTTTCAGGTTTCTGTCTGGAAAGCGAGGACTTCAGATACACCAGTCTAAATACAGACAGCAAAAACATTTGCCTTTCTAACAGGTTACACTGTATAAACACTTTTTCGAGGAATTAAAATAACCTGAAAATAAATGTAATTTCATGGTCAGAATCGTGATTGTTATGGTCATGGTGAAGTTTTTTCTGCCTACACAATAGTCTCATTGTCACAGTAAAGTCTCTGGACACTGGTTGAACAGGTTAGAATCATATTCACACCCAAGGATCTGCAGAGCTTTAAAGACCGCCTTAACCCCAGCTAAAAATAAAGTTCTCTTTGACCTGGTTCTAACTTGATGTAGTGACAGGAGTGTACTTCAGAGCGTGTTAGTACACAACTGCTGGGTGTGGTTGGGTCAGAGGGCAACTGCCGTCCAACTTTCAGTCAGAGGAGGAAGTGGAATGCTACTTTTTAGCCTGATAATTTCCATAACTTCATGTTCTGGAAGTGTCTGAGGAAACAGCACCCTACTGTAGGGACACTGTTATTGATTGGTTATGCGTCATGGCTATTAAATCAAGATTACAATTTTTGTGTGAAAGGGAAATAGTTTATCTTAAGATATTGTTTCTCTTCATTGGAAACTAAATGTAATATATATTTGCAATAACTGAATAGTTAACACAGGACCACCTAATGTGATGTGAAGCTTTAAATTGCAGATGAGGGTTGAAATGGGTTTGCCAGAGTACACAACATAAAAGATGTGATATTGTGCTGATTACAAGCTCAAATCATTCCCTCCTCTTTAATGAAAAGCTGAATATACAAAATGGGTGAAAAGGCATGTTGCTGTCCTCCTGGAAATGCTGTCTGTGTCTGCATGCTCATGACAACCATTTCTCTGCACTTTTTGCACTCTCTACATTTTTATGCCTTGGGCTCAAGGATGAACTGATTAAATTTTAGTGGTCAAAGGTCACTGTGACCTTGCACTCATCCCATGCTTGTGAATGCTATCTCTCAGGAACGCCTTAAGGGAATTTATTTTTTTTTGGCACAAGTGTACTCTTGGACTCAAGGAGGAACTGAATAGATTTTGCTGGTCAAAGGTTAAAGGTCAAGGTCAGTGACCTCACGTATGTGCCATTCCTGTGAACCTAACTGGTTGGGGGAAGCATACAGCTGCAAAGATGCAAGATTCTAGCTTCACTTTGTTATATACAGTGGGCATAAAAAGGTCAAACATTTGGACTCCTTTGCCTCCAGACCTTCAACATCAAATCCATCATGTAACCAATTCCACAACACACTGACATCTTCTGCAGAGGGCTGATGTGTGTTTTGTTACACCATTTGTCTGCTGTGTTTGCAATTCAGCAGTCTTTAGCACTGTTTATGCTTTGCACTTTTTACCAGTTGCTAAGACACATTTTCTGAAACAATCCACCGTTTTCTCACAACTACGCACATTCTTTTCTTTTCAGATTGCATAGTGTCATACTCAGGATGTTTTTATCTGGTAGCTGTGTGAGGCTTGTGAAAAGGATATATCTACTGAGTAAGTGCTTTTTCACTTTATTGACAGAGGCAAAGTACTTTATATGTAAAATGAATGAATCAGAAATGCAGCAATTTACTTCAACATCCTTTTTTGTATTTTTATATATGGTCACTTAGTTGTGAAAAATTATGTAAAACACTGAAACATCTAATCTAATTCCTGCTATTCCAGGGCTTCAATAATCATTACAAAAAATCCATCAATAACAGTATTGTATAATCACTCATACTGTATATACATGTACATCCTCCTGCATTTGGCCACAAGCTGTCATCAGCATCACAGCTTATGTCTTTTGTGGAAAGTATCTTCTGAAATATCTAATTCAACCCTCTTTTCCCCATCAACCCGTCTTCCATGATCCATGATCCAAGCAAAATCATTCTGAAGCCCATCCCCTTTTACTACATAAAAGATGGTAGCGAGACTGCTATAAACACAGGACACCTGGGCAGGCTTTCCGCTGACACTGTAATACTTCGGGAATTATTGTTATTTCATTTTGTTGCAAATATTTTACTATAGATTTTCTATATATTTCAATGTGGTTACTGCAGAACATTTCCCATCATTCTTTTTTACAGTAACGCTGCATTGGTAGAGCCTGACACTGATTACTGCAACTCTACCAGTTACACACATCTGTTATGTGGCCTTTAATTTAAAAGACCAGTGTTTTTACAACTCTTAGCTTCTTAGCTACAGTACATGCTGTAGTTTTTGAAGTCTGAATACACTTCTAACTTTAGGGGCAGTCACTGGTTTCCATTGTTTTCTCTGTGGTTTGAAAAT